TTTTTTGTTGAATAGTAAAACCCTATTCAAAAACAATAATTTCAAAGGATTAAACGTAGATGATATTTTCCGATTTTTCCTTTTGTATATCATCAATTTCATACGCAAAAATGCAATCATTCTCAACACTGGGAAGGTCTGATGAACTAAAATAACAGTCATAAACAGGATCTTGGGAAAAAAGTGGACAGCTTTAAAGGATCTTTCAAATGTTTTCTTAATCAAGAATAAAATAAGTATAAAAAAAGGAACTGACCGCCAATAAAGATTGCACAAATAAAGCACAGAAATCCAAGCATGATCATCCTATGTTAAATGTAGAGATTATAATTCACGTATGGCGTGGTAATCTAATTTATATTGCACAATGTATATGTCGAATGAGAACATCATGGAAATGAGATAAGATTCCACTCATGTCGATGGAATTTCGTCACAGGTTAACCTCTGTCACAGTGTTATCAACTTATCAGGCATCATTTTGATTAATGCAACGCTATCTAAAAATAAAAACTTCACATACAGTACCAACAATACCTTTCGCGTCCATATATAGATTGTAATGAATTGATATTCTTTTTAAAACAAAACAGGAATTGTGCAAAAGTAACGCAGAATTGTGCAATTTACTAATTTTAGTGGCGAAAACGATCACCGCGATAGGTATATGGACCAATATTTTTAATTGTACACCAAATTGGAACAAATGAATTAGCGCATACGTTTGCTGACTGTGTTTTTCGTTTTGGCAAAAACGTTGCACAAATCGTCGCCCTAATTCCATAATGATGTAAGTCGTATTTTACCATTTTGAGAAAATCGACTTCAAAGTTTTAACAGGCTATATCTTCACACTAACTCAACCAATTTTAATATAAAATATATCATAGTATGCAGAATTATTTTAACTTTTACACTTTTAATTACGAAGAAGTTCCTGTAGATAGTTTTTTTGAAAATCAAAAAAATAAAAAAATGAAAAATCACTGAAAAATAAATTTTATTGACAAAAATACAAGAACCAGAATGCTGTATTTCAGTTACAGCAATGTGACCCTAAAATATCATTACATTTAGGAGTTACAACAGTGTGAAATAACGACTTTTGAACTGTTTTATACTGAAATTATATTAAATTTAGAGGTAACTAGAAATTGAATTCTTTAACGAATAGTCTGAATCCACATTTATTTAGGCACCACAGAGCATGGAATGTGATCATGATCAAAACAGTAAATTTAGTCTTAAAAGTCAATAATAGAAATCCAAACAATGCGGCGAAGTGTGAATAGCCACGAACAGGCAATTTAAGGTTGAAATAGATCTCGGGCTTCATTATCTTTATCACCATTTACATGAAATAGTGAGCCTTGCAAATGAACAAAAAAAATAAGATGTTACTGATTTTGTAAATGTATCACATTGAGGTAAACAAAACGAAAACAAAATTTAGAAACATCGTCCTTGTATTGATATTTACCACATAAAATAGCAAACTTTTTATCATATGAGATGCTATTTTTACAATAAGACTGTACAATATAAAATATTTGGAATTCAGATTTACTTTTGGTTTCGTTTATTATATCATTAATTCATTCCAAATTCAATTCTGAATACCTGTAGCTTGCAGACAAACAGCATGTTGAACATAATTTGACTTACAAAACACACAAAAATGTTTGAAAGATGTAACTGCTTAAGCTTTGAAAAACAACATCAACAATGAGTTCCTTTCTCTGTAACATAAAAAAGAATAAACCTATGTATTTTACTTTTCTAAGAACAGCATTACTTGATGTTTTGTTTTAAAAAAAAATGAAAAATATGAGACTCAAAGCTCACAAATGTTCAAAGATGCTACAGATCTGGATACGGTGTTTCAATGAACTACTGTGCTTCAATTACTACATGTATTTATATATAAAGTGGCATACAACTTCTTTACATACAATAACAATTAAGTATACGTTTGCATTTAATGTTTTTATCTGAACTGTTAACATCAATAACTCATTCGTATAAAAACAATGCTCAATATCTAAGAGTTTCAGACAAATATTAATTCTATTTTACCTCAACAAACGTTTGATGAAACGAATATGACAATTTAAAGAGTTCTTAATGTTTTATAATTATGGTCTTAAGACTTTGTAACATTTCTTCACAAAATCATTCTTTTTTACGTTTCAATCGAATGAAAATTTTTAACCACACATTTTTTTCTTTTTAAAAAATAGTTTTCGTAATGGATAATTTTCAGTTCAATGGTTCAAATCACTTGATAATTACAGGTAGTATTACCTTACGAGTTGGAAGTAGATGTACAAGAATTATTTTTAACTTAGAAACTTAGATTAATTTTGCTTTGCATGTTCCAATTACATAATATATTTCAGCATAAGATTGAACATGATTATGTTGACAAAAAGGTATAGACTGACACGCTGTTGATTTATGCAAAATAGCTGAGAAGGTGGCATTTTGTTTAATAAGTATTTGTTGTGCAAATGACGTCTCTTATTCAACGCTAAATGGTGCATCTGAGACACCTCTCAGCTTTTAAACTTTTTTTTATAGGGATATTGTCAACTTTAACCCACCATATAGCCTTTGACGTTTGGATGTACTGTTTTAAGAACACAAACGAGTGATGTAGGACTGAACATTTTAAAAGTGTTTTGTCTTTCTTTCTATATGATAGTGGGTATTGTTAACCAGTCTAGATTTCATAATGCCTTGGACAGCAAAACTTTTCATATTTTTGTGATCGTAAATTTCAGCATAAGATTGAACATGATTATGTTGACGAAAAGGTATAGACTGACACCCTGTTGATTTATGCAAAATAGCTGAGAAGGTGGCATTTTGTTTAATAAGTATTTGTTGTGCAAATGACGTCTCTTATTCAACGCTAAATGGTGCATCTGAGACACCTCTCAGCTTTTAAACTTTTGTTATAGGGATATTGTCAACTTTAACCCACCATATAGCCTTTGACGTTTGGATGTACTGTTTTAAGAACACAAACGAGTGATGTAGGACTGAACATTTTAAAAGTGTTTTGTCTTTCTTTCTATATGATAGTGGGTATTGTTAACCAGTCTAGATTTCATAATGCCTTGGACAGCAAAACTTTTCATATTTTTGTGATCGTTATATGAAAGTGCATTATTTTGAAATTATGAAAATAATGAAATTATGAGTTATGAAATAATCATGAAGTAAACACCACCTAATTTAACATCAGTTATGAGTTGTTAAGTTATATGTGTAAATTTTATTAGAATCACTTAGCACCAGTACGGTAATTTGTCTTATATAGTTAAAGACAAAATGTAACAATGGCAGTAGTATGTTTCCCATTTGATAAGTTTTGTTTGTAAGTTAAAAGTATAAACAATCTAATGCAAAACCTAATTGTACGTATTTAATCTGAATATGTACAAGTTAGCATTGATCAATCAATCATATAATCATTCACATATCAAGTTATGAACAGCTGATACTTGTGAATATTGAAAGTTTGTATCATTTTATCCGATTTCCATGCTATCCGAATTTCATAACACAGCATGGTGCTTTGAATTAAGCTAAAGTGTAAAGAGTAGTTATTATTTATTTTTAAGGTTTGAAACAGTTCATTAAAATATTAAGCTATAGATAATTAGATAACATCTAAAGCAAAACACTTACATGTTATCAAGAAATATAAAACGTAAAATGTCATTCCCGATACCTTGAAAAATCTGCCATTTTGTCAATACAGCATCACGTGACTAGAATCTCAACAAACTATTGGTTCAGAAGTTACGATATTATGGACTGTATTTTTATCACAATTTTTGGACTTACAGCACTCTGACCCATTCAATATATTGTTACAGGCATGAACCAGAGTGATGTTGTTCTTACCATTAGATAGAGCAAAAAATTACGAACATTTTGATACCAAACACTCATTTTTTTCAAAATTGGAGTTACGACACTCTGGAATTAGGGCGACGAAATTTGGCTCTACTTTTACGTTATTTGCACATTCTGCCTAACTGGATATGCACGGTGCCTATATTCACATTGACTGTAGTGAAATGAAGTCTTAAATGCATCTTAAATCTGAATCTTAATTCAGAATTATTAGAATCTCAGTATCTGACAGAAGATACAATATGTATCAGCTCAGGGGCAATAACTCTAAAATTTATTATTCTTTTCTTTGGAGATAGTAATATAAAATGGTTAAATTGCAAATGTAATGATAATATCAGAAAAAAATATTTGCATAATTATAATTAATTTATTGACTATGGTTATTATAGCTTTTTAAGTACGAGCCCTGTTAAGACTATAGTTTGTTTTTTTTCTCCACGGCTTTTTTAAATAAACCCTCGACTTCCTCCATAAATTTCATTTTCTGATCATTTAAAGCTCTGCTGTTGGTGTATATACATGCATGTAAGTATTTAACATACATAAATCGACCTTATTTTGATTTATGGGACACGGGATTAATAAAAATAATCTTGAGGCGGAGATGGCATATACAACAAGTATCCTTGATTGATAAAAACAATATTAAAAAGCAACAAACCAATTTACCTTAAACTTTGTCCTAAATTTATACATTTTTATTAAAGGCACGCAATTCTTAACTTCCATTCAAGTTCAGTTCTTGTGAATGATACGTTCACTCGGTGTTTTTTAAAGTAAATTGAAGACAGTAAAAATGATGCTGATAAAGATAATAGGACTTTACCTACTTGTAATACAACAAGGATTTGATAGTGCACAAGGTAAGGTTATCATGTTAATATTTAAATATTAAATTTATTTTTTAGATATAGTAAGCTCATCCTTAATTAAGTTAAATATTTTATTCACTGAAATTTATTGAAATCTATGAAATTCTTACTATATATGTCTGATTTGAATAAAAGAAGGAGTAAACTGTGTATGGGAAGCGTTCCCTATTACAGGTCAAGTAAAGTTGTTGCGTGTTTTTTTTTTGTTTGTTTTTTTTTTCTTAAAAAAAAACTGGCATGACACTATATATTCATATTGCGATCACATTAAGTGTGTACAATTTTAAACATAATATACCTCCTTTGTACCTTTGTATAAAGTCAAAACAAGAATATTTCATATTTACAAAGAGAGACTTTGTAACAATTTATCACTATTTTCTGAAATCGAATAAGAGTATTTATCTAGTATATCAATGTAACAACGTTCTTACCCTGCTTGACCGATTAACACTTTCATAAGCGTTCTTTTCAATAGGATAACTATTATTTCATTATTTTAGTCATTAGTAATCAAATAATTTGTAAAAGAAAAAAAGAACTTTTTGGGACGATAAAAAGTTATTAAGCTATCAAGACTGTTCACTCGTGCTTGATGACCTGCCTATAATTACTATATAGTTGTGGTAAAAGGCTTTTAAGTATTCGATTTCAGCATTGTTATCAACTAATAAATTATCATGTACAAAACAATTATTTTAAATGATAAACAGCTAAGATTATGTTTGGTGTTTAACTCCTATATGATAATGCATGTATTCAATACATGGTGTTCCAAACGTTGAAAAAAAATCATGAGGTAAAATGTTCAGAAAATCTATAACAGCTTAACAGTTGAAATGCTAGGCGACTACTACATGTACTATGCATTGCTATATCATAGACATCCGAGACAATGTTATAAAATTGTTAAAGTCACTAGATGAGATCGGTCGAAATTGTTGGGCATCTAAAGTAAAAATCACTACTTTATACTTATGGTTTTGGATATGTATGGCTTGCACAAGATATTGGACATATTTATTTTAGCTTTTCGTCAACGACTGAAAGACTGTTTTAAACAAAAATGGAATAATGATATAAATATTGCGTCCCGTTGTTATCATTATATTTTTTAAGAGTCAATAAAACCCTGATGTGATATTCCAAGAAAATATATGGTTGCTCCTGCAAGGTTTCGATGTTCGAGGATCCTGTCACAAATTAACGATTGGAATTGGAAGACAAAATATTATACCACTTCATGAAAGAAAATGTTTATTTTGTTTCAACTAAAATAATGTATTTGCTAGTGATTGTGAATTTTATGTATTTTTCAATGTTCTAAGTATAATGACATTCGAACTAATTATCTCTTTAATTGGTATTCAAATGGTACTACAATCAATGATTTTTATTCGCGGATGAATACACAAAATGAAGAAACAATTTCTAAACTATCTCTGTATTTCACTTGTTGAAAAGTACCAGCTCTTGACTTATTTTATTCTAATTTTATATGTTATGCAACTACATTCAATACATGTATACAATATTATATTTATACCATTCATATTCATATACTGATGTGTATTATGGGCCGGAGGCCTTTATTTATTTAAATATTAAGTTGAGTTTAATTGAGTTGCCATATTCGTGCAGCCTGACCACATCCTTGCACTATAGTCCGCACTGCCATGTATCTGCTTCTCTGACCCGAGTTAAGAAAATTTATTTAATTATATGCATCTGATATGGCTATAGGGCTAGTCAAGCTGTTTCAAATAGAATTCACTGGACTAGTAGAAACTACCTGTTACATCTCTAACATTGTAGGTTGAGCATAATTTGAAAAAAAAAGCAATTTATTATTCATAAATTCATTGCTATGTCAACGTTATATTACCGGGTATTTTTAAAGAATACTAGTACTACCAAATACAGTTAAAATACTTGAATAAAATTAATTTTGTCTATTACTTTGAACAGCGTCTCCAACAGGTCGTCTGCTTGAGAAGGTAATTAACGGGGAAGATGCCGAACCGGGCTCGAATCCACACCAGGTCACCGTCCAGTGGTTTGCATTTGGTCTGTTTTGGTACCACATGTGTGGTGGATCAGTTATTGGTGCTAAATATGTACTGACAGCAGCTCACTGTGTCGACTATGCGTAGGTATTCAAGGAATTAGTTCAGATTATACGGGATTTGTTTAAGTTCGATTGCGTTTGAAGCTATTAGTTCGTTGAAACACTTTCAAGTCCGTTCTTGAAACCAGCCAGTACTTGTCAAGGTCCTCAGCAAGGTTTTGACTCAACGACAGGTAGTGCTGAGCAATTTGTGTAAAGTTTCTTGGTCAAGGAAACCAACCATGCGGCTTGTTGCAAGTCCGACGCGTTAACCACTCGGTCGCACTTGCATAACTAGTAGGACCATCATTTTAGTTTATTTATTTCAATTAACGCAAATACAGAGTGTTTAATCATGCAAATTTACAAAATTAAATGATTATTTAGTTTTTCAATTTTTAAACCTATATAAAAATAAAAATTAACATACACTGTATTAATATAGCCACAGTTTATCATTTTACAATGACGCTTTCAAGAAGTTTTGTAATTATTAATTTTAAAAAAGATTTAGAATTGTTTATCCATCGAATATTACATATATATGATTGCATCAAAAGAAAAATCATGGTATGATTATTTACATAAATATGCGTTTGAAGATTTTCAATTTCATACAAACCAGTCTATATCCCAGATACTTAATGATTAATAAAAAATCGAACTGATATATTCCAGCCCGGCAGAAGAATTTAGAGTTATAGTGAACGATCACAGACTAGAGGATACGGATGTTGGTGAACAAGAGATAAGAGTTCAAACAATGTATATAGTATGCACGTTTATCATTTTCTGTACCAATTTATTTAGGCGAATACGTGGAGGATATTTTGTTTGTTTTGCATGTAAGATCGAAATAAATTCCACAGAGTGAATACAAGATGTTACATTTTCCCGAGGGGCGTAGAGTGATAATATAAGAGCTGGTGTTCACGAGTGAAATATTATTTGATCTTGTATACATTTGTATTTGGTAATTAATACTGTTTTTTTATAGCTTAAAGACATACGCCATCATTCATGACGGTATCAAATCATGGCGTTACACTGTTTTCTTGAAAAGAAAACAACTATAAACTTTTATGAATAACGTTACATATTTAAAATGATATGTGGAGATATTAATTTATGTGCTTTTTGTTATGAAGCACATTTTACTCACCATGACGTGTATTTCTAACGATATTTCCACTCATTTATGTTATATTCTTTTTATCCGCAATCAGATATATAGTTCGCCTACTGTAATAATTATATTCTATGACTTCACCGAATAAAAAAGCTGAAAAGCATGATACAATGTATATTATATTTAATTTTAATGTAACACTTTGTTTACAAAGCACAGGTAACTTAAGTCACGTGTTGGCAATGTAGTAAAAACAAAGTCTTGGTAATACTGTAGACATTAAAACATTTAAGGATATAAAAAGTAAATTATTATCTCTTATTTTACTCTTCAAAATAAACAATGAAAGTTTACGAGTCGTGTTCATTAATTTGCAGCACCATGGTTGGATTCCCACTCAGGATTATGACCGGAAATTATTTCCAAATGATATAGCACTGCTTGTTCTACAAACGGAAGTACTGGACAAATCTACAATCATTCCTATGGCAAGCGATAAAGATGAAGATTTCTCTGGAAAAACGTGTACAATTAGCGGCTGGGGTCTGAACGGTAGGGAGCAAATGTTAAAGGGACTCCACTGAGGTTTAAAGGCCTAAAAACATAACATTTGAATTTCTTACATAAATGAGCTGAAGCACTTTAAACATAAATATATGCAAAGATAGTTAAAAATATACTTTGAAATAAATTGAAAATCGTATGTTTGTGCTTTCCTTAGCCCGATATGAGTGAAAAGCGTTTAAACGCTTTTCATTTTCGGTCATTTTTTATAATTTAGATAATTATTCTGGAAAAACGAAGTGCGCTAATTATCTGAAATTTTGCACAAAGATTAGTGGCCTAGACCTGCATCAAATGGTACATTTATCTGGAAAAAAAGTATTTTCAGTCCCGTCATGTCAAAAAAACCTCAGTGGAGTCACTTTAATAGTAAATATTAAGCATAATGCCTGTAATGTTAGCGCTTTTCGGGTTACAATGACACAATTTAGTCTAAGACTTAAACCCTTTGCATGCTGGGGAGAAATATCGTCTGCTTAAATTCAATAAGTGGATCTAAATAGAAATAAATAACAAATAAATAAACGGTCTCTGGTATAAAATAGAGAATATTGAATGACTGAATGTACATTACCGCATATGAATTGATTAAACGAGTTAAATACAATTATAGTATAATATTATTGTTTTCAACAAGTTCAGTAAACTTAGGAATATACTTTTATATTTATCACATGTCCAACATATAAGAACTGTTTACAGTAAAATATAATAGCTAGTTTTTCCCTTGACGCGCCTTTAGTGAATAACATTGAGCGCGTCTTTATACTTATAGTTTTTGGAAACTGTACACATTTTGCTTTCAAATGAGACTTATTATACTTTTGGACACAAATTTGAATTAAATGGCCCCTATCTCTGGTACTATATTGTTAACGCTTTGAAGCAGCGGCGTATATGGATGGCGTCAATGTCGTCCGATTAAAAGAAAGACCTTATCAATTTGCGGTATTATAAAGTTATAATATCAGTAAATCCAATTTACAGATACTAATGGTGTTATTCCGAATGTCCTGCAAGAAGTGAACATCACTGTGATGAGTGTGGCAGAATGTGACGAGTTTTGGAATCAGCTTTGGCCGAATACCACATTACACCTGTATTCAGGTCAGATCTGTGTGTTTAATGGGGAAGATCCAGTCAACGGGACAGCAGCTTGCAGCGTGTGTACATAGAATTATTTCTTGATGGAGACTTTTCTTACATTGGGGTAGGGGATGTAAGACAAGTTTTTCTAGCACCGGCGTAAGCGGTAGATAATTCTATCTGATATGCAAGAAAAAAATATATGCATAGGAAGCTTTCGGTGCCAAATATCTATAGGATATGGTAAGGGCGTCAATGTGTGAGTGGTAAAGGTCGTTGACTTCAACCACTCCCCACCCCCACCGCTGTTGATTCGTATTCTTTCATGTGGTGGTTCTATCCAACTAGCCTACGGAACGTCGGCGGTTCCACCCAGGTGCCCGTTTGTGCCTGAACTAATGTACGGAAGCGCACCTGAGGTCTTTCTATACTGTGTTGATGCCACGTGAAACCCAACCAAATACAATCTATAATATATTGGTTCAACGCGTAAGGAAACAAAGTCACCGTTTCACTGTCAGACGATTGCTTCAGAGTTAACTTACATAATAAAAGAAGCGGTTTTATTGTTTATGTAACATTACACCTCAATATATAAAATGAAATTTCATATTTTTTTTAATATTTCCAAGGAAGAGCACAGTCTGTGTACATTCTTCTAAAAGAGTTAGTAAGCGTGCGGGTTTGAACCGACTTTTAGGTTACTTTTGTAAATTAACCTACAGCCAAATAACTATACAGCTATCTCCTTCGCGACTTGACTCAAACTGTCTAACACAGATATATAAAATTTTAAATTTTAAATTGAAATTTGTATTGCATTCTAGATGTAACATCTACTTGACGCATATTATAATGATAGTGATTATAGCAGACGATTAGACAACTTTTAAATATGATCGGAGATGCATAGTTACATATGGTGGTTATCCTTATAAGCATGATAACTGCGTCTGCAATAAATATCACCTAATGAAAAACGGCCCTCACATCCCTTGTATTTATAATGCACAGGTCGGTATGAATATTCTGAATAAACCTCAATCAACGTAAAAATTTACATTATCTAAATTTATGCTTTTTCTTTTACGAAGAAAAATTTCGAGCTATCGCTGCAGTGAGGTTGTCGTTGCCGTCTAGACTTTAACATATTAGTCTTCTATTTTTATTTGTCTATGGATTGCCTTCATACTTGGACACAACAATCCTTCGGACGAATTTCATGTAAATGTTGTTGACAAGAGTGAGATACATAACCCGATATTACATATATGTATATAGCATATTAAAATGTTCCAGAACAAAATCTTATTTTTCAACATACAAATGTTCGTACAAACGCTTTCAAACATATATTTTATAAGAATATGCAACTGATACATTTCTATTGCTTGTTATCAATATTAGAAGCTGTGGCAATTACAGACCAATCCACTTTAACATGACAATATATTTTCAGGGTGACAGTGGTGGCCCGTTAGTATGTAACAGCATGCTTGCAGGAGTAACTTCTTGGGGTGTACAAGGGTGCCGTGACCAGGTTACCGGCGAGTTTCGACCAAGTGTTTACATCCGGGTCTCTTCCTACTACGATTGGATACAAACAACACTGAACAATTACAAGATAGGAAGAGGATAAGAAAATATGGTTTTTCAACGCTTAGTCTGCTAAATATCGAAAATGGACTATATTATATTTTAATCTGGACAAACCATTCATCATTTTAGGGAAAGTTTCAAAATAAGTACTGACTGAACAGCGTATTGTGCAGACCGGCCATGATAAGACAACATGGATGTGCCGGCTGATCTTTGTCTGCGTAGTTTCCGTTGTCATTAGTACAAATGTATCACAATGTTAATTAAAGAACATAAGGCAAACATATTTTGTCAATCTGCCACCACTAACCTTTCTTAATCTCTTTTTATACGCCCGTTTGAAAAACGGGACGTATTATGGGAACGCCCCTGGCGGGCGGGCGGTCGGGCGTATGGGCGGTCGGGCGGGCGCCCGCCCAATTTTGTCCGGAGCATATCTCCTACATGTATGGAGGGATTTTAATGAAACTTCATAGAAATGTTCACCACTATGAGGAGCAGTGTCGCGCACATGAACCAGGTCTCTAGGTCAAAGGTCAAGGTCACACTTAGAGCTCATTGAAAAATGCTTGTCCGGAGCAAAACTGTTCCACATGTATAGAGGGATTTCAATATTACTTGGCACAAATGTTCAACATTGTGAGGCGGAGTGTCGCGCGCAAGATTAAGGTTCCTTGCGGCCAAGGTCAAGGTCACCCATAGAGGTCAAAAGTTCAGATAAAAATATGAAGATGTGTATATGGACCATTTAGTCATCATTTATTGAGGGATTGTTTAACACAAATGGTCATATATCAAGACTATAGCTGTGATACATATAATTTAGGTCAATATATACAAGGTCAAGGTCACTAAAGATGATGAAATATCCAGATTTTGTAAATAGAATTTAATCAAAGGGCGACAACAAAGTTATTAACTTTGTTCATAAATGACTTACACAATTACTCCCCTTGATCTACTTTCACTTTCAATTCTAAAAATAGAATTTAATCAAAGGGCATAAAATAATCCTCTTTCTTGGACTTGAGTATGTTCTAAAGAATGTAACATTTATTTACACATGTTTCATTCATTGGTCAAAGATTCTTCACTGTGATAACTATGGTGTTCTGTAGACTTGGTATTTGTTCATAAAGATCATACAGTAATTACCTTATCAAATGTAAATACTTTCTCATAGAAATTTAATTATATTTTAATTTTCAAGTAAATATCAGTTCAGCTCTCCTACATGTATGGGAGGGATTTTCATGAAACTTCATAGAAATGTTCACCACTATGAGGAAGCAGTGTCGCGCACATGAACCAGGTCTCTAGGTCAAAGGTCAAGGTCACACTTGGAGCTCATTGAAAAAATGCTTGTCCGGAGCAAAACTTCCACATGTATAGAAGGGCTTTCAATATTACTTGGCACAAATGTTCACCATTGTGAGACGGAGTGTCACGCGCAAGATTCAGGTCCTTGCGGCCAAGGTCAAGGTCACACATAGAGGTCAAAGTTTAGATAGAAATAATGAAGATGTGTATAGGGACGATTTAATCATCATTTATTGAGGGATTGTAACACAAATGGTCATTATCATGACTACGGCTGTGACACATGTACTTTAGGTCAATATATGCAAGGTCAAGGTCACTAAAGATGGTGAAATATCCAGATTTTGTCTGGAGCATAATCTCCTACATGTATGGAAGAATTTTTATAATTCTTTATGGAAATGTTCACCACCATGATATGTATTGCTCCATGCATGATCCAGGTCTCCAGGTCAAAGGTCAAGGTCACACTTAGAGCTCATTGAAAAACGCTTGTCCGGAGCAAAACTTCTACATTCATAGGGGGATTTCAATATAACTTGGCACAAATGTTCACCATTGTGAGGCTGAGTGTCGCACGCTTAATTCAGATCCCTGCGACCAAAGTCAATGTTACACATAGAGGTCAAAGTTCAGATAAAAATTTGAAGATGTGTATAGGGACCATTTAGTCATCATTTATTGATGGATTGTAGCACAAATGGTAACTATCATGACTACAGGTGTGACACATTTAATTTAGGTTAATATTTGCAAGGTCAAGGTCACTGGAGATGATTAAATATCCAGATGTTGTCCGGAGCATATTTTCTACATGCATGGAGGAATTTTAATGTTACTTTATAGAATTGTTCACCACCATGAGACTTAGTGCCCTGCACATGAACCAAGTCTCTAGGTCAAAGGTGAAGGTCACAGTTAGAGCTCATAGAAAAACGCTTGTCTGGAGCAAAACTTCGATATGCATAGAGAGATTTCAATATAATTTGGCACAAATGTTCATCATTGTGAGGCTGAGTGCCGTGCATAAAATTCAGGTCCCTGCGACCAAGGTCAAGGTCACACATCCTGTGCATATCTTCCTACTGATTTGTTTTAAGGTTCATTTAACAACACAGTGCCAAGAATAAAAACTCGCTTGCTAGATAACACTTATCCATAATGCCCCCATCTCCATCTAAAGCTTTCGTAAACGGGCGTATTTTGTGACTATGGCACCCTTGTTCCTTTTTGTTTTACTTTTTGACAAGACGGAACAGGAAATATTGTTTCAAGATTTCAATACCGTTTGATGAAGTTATAAAATAATAAGTTGCGTGCAAAATTTCAGATGTTATTCGTTTTCTCCGAATGATCATTTTATTGTGCTAAATTAAATGAATTAAAAATGGAAGCTTTAAATCGTGGTAAAATTACAAGAAAATGATTTTTCAATTTTTGAAATTTCTTCGTTTACCTTTATCATCTTTTGCATGTTTTTTTCATCTTAAGTGACCCGATGGATCTAAGTAAGGATTTTTTCTGTTTTCAAGCTTTTAATCTTCAGTGGATCTCCTTTAAAACGTGGGATATCCATATATATGTTCTTGTTTCTTCAATACAGTTTATGTTCATGTATTTACGACACTTTCTTACTAGAATCTAGGACAGTTCGTCGATTTACACTCTTAGGAATACGACAATTCAAAGAATATACATCTTTCTAGATAGACAATTAAAATTATTAATTTTGTCAGTTCGGTCTTGTTTTTTGTTCAGTCCGTGAAAACTACTGCTTGTGAGAGTGGTAAATGCAATAAAACTGAACGCAAAAATCAATTAAGATTCATCATTGAAGGAACTGGTACTTTAATAACTACGAATTACTTAAATATATTACCTGGGGCGTATGCCCTGCAGAACCTATATTTCCACACAAAAATGTCGGTTCTCATTTTGATTCGATTTCTCAAAAAGTGCTTACTTCAAGTTTTTCATCTTACAACCGAGCAAATCCTTTTATATTCTGCAGAATAAGCATTCATACTCAAGAAAATTAAACAATATCTGGGATACACACAGTGGACTAAAAAAAACGACAAAATATCGGCACTAAAAGTGTTGTTTTCTGACGTGCTACCTCAATGTACGAACGTCTGGAGAAATAAGAAAAAACTCTAAAAGTTTGCATAAGAAACAGGTTTTTTTTTTGTAATTTCTTGATTTTAGCTGTTGTGAAATATTTGAAGATCTACGGTATTTTACATGTATGGCAAAGGGAAAATACGCCAACTTTGTACAACAAATTGACGCATTGTTTCGCAACAATAAAAGAAGAAAAATAATGTGTACTTCTCTCAATGGAATGGTCAACTTGTCTTTTTTGCATGATTAAAAAATGTTACTTAAAAGCGGGAAAAACATATTAGGCATGAAACGTTTGACCATAAGATTTCAAGTAACAATTGAATTATAATTGAAATACCTAAAAGTTTTCCAGTATAATACATCTGTATCCGCATAATATCGCTTTCAATGCTCAGAGTATCCATAACAGCGGTGGGTCCGGATACCCTTATGGGTGTTTAAGGTACCTCGAAGACCTTATATAGACACGGTGTAACAAAAAAAACACGTGTACATGTGTTAATGTCATGTGAAGAAGAAAGAAAAGGAGACGCTCAAGATCTTTACTTATTTGAGCCGCGTCACGACAAAACCAACATAATGGGTTTGCGACCAGCATGGATCCAGACCAGCCTGCGCTTCCGCGCAGTCTGATCAGGATCCATGCTGTTCGCTTACCAACCCTATTACAAGTAGAGAAACTGATAGCGAACAGCATGGATCCTGATCAGATCTGGTCTGGATCCATGCTTATCGCAAACGCACTATGTTGGTTTTGTCGTGACGCGGCTCATTTTCTTTCATTTCGAAATTTATTTGGAGACTATAATAATTGATAATGTTAATATAGTTTGTGTACACGTGTTCAGTCTGATTCTACTTACTAGTACATGTACTTACTCGCATCAACGGATCCCAACCCCAACAACCCCACCCTCACAGGTACTTTGGATTTGTTCATGTGCTAACCTATTGAACGTCGGCGGTTCTACTGAGGTACACGTTTGTGAAATAATGCACGGAGGGACACCTGGGGACTCTGAGGACTTCTTCCACCAGTAAAGCTGGAAAGTCGCCATATGACCTTTACACTGTTGATGTGTCGTAAAAAACAACCAGGAAAAAAACAGTGTTTTCAAATCATTTGACCGTATTTTATATATGTCAATTGTTCCTTTCTTACAACTTTTACAATAGCTTTCGAAGATTGTTTTCGTGCGTCTTTCATACTAATATATACTAGTAGTTTACATATAAAATATGCTCTGTGTTTGACAGCCGTTTTTTACCCTTACTCTTTATGCATAAAACACGTATTGTAATAATAAAATCATACCACTTTCGTTGTCGCTTTCTTTGACCTTTTCACATTTTCATATATTTTTATGCCCCCACAATGTGGGAGCATATAGCGTTGCACTTGTCCGTTCGTCCGTCCGTCAGTCCGTCCGTCCGTACGTCCCGAAATCTTGTGAACGCAACTCCTCTTAAACCGGATGGCAGATTTTGCTTAAACTTACAGAGATAAACAACCTTAATGTGTAGATGGTAGTAAAGGAAGGAATTTTTGCTGGGACCAAATTTAACAGAATTATGGCCCTTTGTTGATTTTTTCACTATATGCTATGTAGAAATTTTGTGAACGCAACTCCTCTTAAACCGGATGGCAGATTTTGCTTAAACTTACAGGGATGAACAACCTTCAGGTGTAGATGGTATTAAAGAAAGGAATTTTTGCTGCAACCAAATTTAACAGAATTATGGCCCTTTTTTTATTTTTTCATTATATACTATGTAGAAATTTTGTGAACGCAACTCCTCTTAAACCGGATGGCAGATTTTGCTTAAACTTCCAGGGATTAACAACCTTAATGTGTAGATGGTAGTAAAGGAAGG